TATTCTGTAGTAGGGGGTTAATGTCTGGAGTAACTTGATAGGTTGAGACACATCTCTTAAAGGCATCCCATACATGCTCAACATATCTGAAGGCTGGTGAACATGCATGCCATTCTATTTGAAAAACCCTTTGTTTTTCAGACTTTTCTGGCATAATGAGCCAGAGCCAATTATATTAACATGTGGCAGATAAAGGACCACATGATGTGACCCCTTTAACATTTGCTATTAATGGCACCATTCCACAGGATATAGAGGGCAATATAGCTACCAAACAAGTCATCCCCTGGTTCCAATGGTTTTAGCAAAGGAATCATTATCTTTTTATTTTTTTTTATAAATTGACTTTTATAAAATGTATACTATTAAACTTACAGATGCAATTAGTGTGTAAAGTAACTGAGCAGTATAAGACCCCCCCCCCCAAATTCTTCAGACTTTAACACTTATCTACATAGCTCATCAGGAAACAAAAAAGGGGAATAAGAGTTTAAACTTAATTAAGATATTAATATTGTTCATTTCTAAAATACATTGATTTCTTAACTTATATTTACAAAATATAAATATTGAATATTTTAATAAGGCCACTAACTGTTTCTGCTTTATAAAAAACAAATTATAGTTTTTCTAAAGTACAGTGCAGAAAATTTATTTTTGTCAAATATAACTTACCTTACGCTAGTCATTTCCACTACGTGCTGTACTGGAAGCTTAGAGAAATTAATGAAAATTTCTGTATCCACACAATGATCATTAAATTTCATACCATAGTCTAATGAACCAACTCATTCAGTACTGTCCACAAATCAGGTATTTATTTACACCAGTACTTTCTAACACATATCAACAAAGTTACATCATACAATATATTCATTTCTTATCTATTACTCTATCTATCTATCTATCTACATATATAAATATAGCTTTTTACACATATTCATCTAACAGGGTGTAAAACACTGTCTAAACTACCTGTTATTCAGTATGAATTGTATTATGTAGTTTGTTTACAGAATAAAAAAACACCAACAATAATAATGTAACAAATTAAACTAGAAACTAATTAATAATTGTACATTTAGGCTACTAACCATGACAACAACACATAATGTACTATTTACACTTATTTTATTCAATCAGGAAGTGAATATATAACTATGGATATTTGTACTATTTTCTTGTCAATATCCCTATTAGCTTTCATGCTCAAGAAACTTAGCATCCATGATTTTGATATTTCATTAATGCATTAACATAATCTGTGTTTAAATATTAGCAAACAGATATCCCATTCAGCAGCTGAGTCTACAAAAACTTAGTATATTTTACTCAAAAAAAATCAATGCCTATTATACTGATTAATATTTCTAATGTACATAATTATCTCATACAATTTTCAGTTTGAAGATGATAATATTTTTGGTATACATTATTAGTGAAACTCAGTATCTCTAATTTTGAAATACTTTGAATCTTCAAACACATAATTTTGAATTTTTATGAGAACCATAACTTTTGCATTATAATATATAAGTAAAACAGCATATCAATTAAATTATTATCATTTTAGGTTCTAAGAAGCATTTATTTTATAAAAACTTTGTACCATATAGAAGTATCAAAATAGTTTTAAATACAGATTTTCTTTACAGTATCAAACTTTCTTATGTAATGATATATGATACAATTTTCATACTTCTATTACACTTTTTTTAAATATTCTATAAACTTCAAATGCATTACTAATTTTACAAAGGGTATATAATCTTTCCTGTAATTATGTCTACCAATAATGTTGTCCAAGATGGGATTAGTCTTTTATTGTTTTCATCTTCAACAGGGAGAGTTTGTTTAATAAGATGACCATAGGGAACTTGCACCAACTAGTAGATAAAATTAAAAAGTATTTAACCTAATATTACAGAAAAAAAAACTATGTAAAGCAACTCACTGAACTTAGACATATAGATATCATAAAAGTATTCAAACTGTGAAAGATACACATAAAATTTAAAAAACAATGCAAATTGATTAAAAGTGAAACTAAATGAAATCCAAAATAATGAGCTAAATTGTTTATACATACACATGAGAAAGGTATCAGATTTAATACATGAATTAAAGTTGTTAAGATTTACATAAATAAACTTGATTGTTTACTTTAATCCTCATGATGAACCTCTACATAACTTCCAAGTAATAGTTTTACATACATTACTTACAAACCCTTTCCAGCCTAAAACTACTGTCTTTCAGACACAAATCTGCAGGTCTGAAGAATACTTTTCACTGGTTTTTTTAACACTCATACTTATCATATTTAAGTAAAATATTGTGCACTGAAGGAGTACCTGGTACTAAGTTGGTAAATTTTCCAGTACAGGCTTAACAGAATTTACTATAAAAAATATATAAATACAGGTATACGTAGAGAGTATACATACATGATAGAACTAAAAATAACACATACATAAATAAAACAATAAAAAAAATATGATATGTACAAGTACATAAATATATAGAAATCTTTTTTAACACATAGTGGAATAAAGGGTATATTCCAAAATATTAAAATAATGTAAAAATATATTATGTAAAGACTTCATATTTTTAACTAATGTACACTACTTGCCTGCATTTTTAAAGTCATGTTTCTCTTATTACTGGAATGGTGGCAAATGGTAAAGAAAACTTCCCCTAGGAAATATTTCATGTTAATTTCAAAATTAAAAGCACTCTGAAACATTATTGATGTGCCACTTTTATATAAACACAAACACTAAACTGTGATCATTCCCCAATGTTTTTCTAGTTTTTGTGCCAGTTTTCCTTACTCACACTAAACTCTGATCTTTTCTTGGTTTTTCTTCAAACTGTGTACATGTTTTACAAAACACACTAAACTCTAAACTTCTGTCGTTTCTAATATTGTACATTTTACATAAACAAACTCAATTCTAACTCTTTCCAGTCTTTTCTAATGTTGTGCCAGTTCTACACACACAAAGAAAACCAACTAAAGTCTGACATTTTCCTGGTTTTTTTCCAATGTTGTTCCTGTTTTACATAATCATATTAAACCATGACCTTATCCTATCTTTTATTTTTTTACTTGAAAATATAAAGTTTCTTTTATTTAAAATAAAAGGTTTCCAAGAAAATGTTGTAAAATTTCCTACTTAATTTACCATCTATTTCAAAGATCTTACTATGTTTTGAACAACAACATAAAACATTCAACTTAATAAGAACCTTTAGAAAAATGCTAAATATTTGGTAGTATATATATATATATATATATATACACACACATACACAGACACACAAATTAGATTTGTCATACAGTTATTCTTGCATAGTTTATTCTGAATCACAATCACATTGAAAAGCTACTCAATCAGTAATCATTGGTTTTTGAACAATTAAAACAAATACCATTGCATCCTGATATTACAAACATGAGATTTAAAAAGACTGTAACAATTGAAATTTTAATCTTTATCAAGTTACCAAAATGATACATTCATGGACAGTTAGTAAATTACACAAAGTTGTAGCAAATGTAGCATTATAAATGGGTAAAGATGTTTAAGTTTGGTAAGATTAACAAGACTTATGTATCTGAAAACAAGTTCTTTCTCTATTCTGGATCAGTTTTCTTTTATGACAAACAGGTTTCCAAATACAATATTTTTGCCAAGTCAGATCTATTATTAGTAACCATAAAGTTATGCTATAATTAAAAATTCTTCAAATACTCTACTCAATTTTGTGATTCCGTTAAATTACAATTTTAATGAAAACAACTAATGCAAGTAATACATAGAATGAATAAATTCAATATATTAGTTCTATAATCTTCTATTAGATTACTAAAAATGTACTGCATGTCTATAACATTTAAAAAATTAAGTTAAATTTATGTAACAGAGCATGATAATTATAATTTTAATAATTTTGAAAACACAACCAATGCAAGCAAGAAAATTAGTAAATAAATTGAATATATTAATTCAACAACCCACCAGTAGCTACTAACAACATATTGTTTATGTTTATATCATTTTAAAAATTAGGTTAACTTAGTTTTGCTCTAAAATAGGTAGTTTACTCTGAACAAAGTTAATATTAAATTATATAACTGAACATTATAATTATAATTTATTAATTTTGAAGAAACCTGAGAAAAAATACTTGCACAATTTAAAATGTTTATAACATCCATTCAAATGAGAAAATCCTAATTAACCTTATCACGATGGGTCACGTGTCAAAGGCCATGTCATATCGTTTGTTGAGTCACATTCAAAATTTTATTGAACTACTATCTTACAAATTTATGTCAATAAGCTTGGTATCAAACTGTAGAGTATAATTTCAATTTTAGCATTAAACGTAAGTTAATTTCTTAATTTAGAAGTGTCGTGTGGTATGTTGAATGCAGCACTGGTTCAAATCAGATGCTTGTGATGTCAAAATACAAAGTCTATAGTTTTGTACGAATTAGGAACTCAAACTACCGATATTGACAAGCTAAAATATAAAATAAGGACCTCTTATCTTTTCTATATGCCAAGATATTGCTCATGTACTGAATCAAACATAGTGGCCTCCCACACAAATCTTTTCATTTTTGGAAACACTCCCTTATATACTTACTTCTATATATGACATAAATAACCAATCGGAAGCTCAGAATGTCCCCCTAGTGGCTCTCTCAGCCATTTAACGGTCTTGGCACCATTTCTTTCTTTTGAACCAATATTTCAACAAGGTAGGGTGTGTCTCTAGTCTGCTTGAAATTTCATATTTTTTAGACTAAAATACATTTTAGTTACTAAGCTTGATAAATTATAGTGGAATTCCATGGTATTAAAGTAGTAATTTATGATTTTTCGGTTATTCAAATGTGTATATAAAACCTAAAAAAATATTTTGTTTCATATCCTCCACGTGCAAATTTTGTGTTTGCTTTACTTCTTTATTTATTGTTCTATGTTTTATGAAAAATAAGTTTAAGAACTTATTTCAAGATAGCAATAATCTATATACATATATAATGTATAATAATTGAAATGTGACTGTATTTTACAAAATACTAGTCCACTGAAACACAGCCAAGACAGGTCATTTTGTAAAGACTAAAGATCAGTTTTATATTATTAGATACGGTATCACGAGTGGACGTGCACCGCTTCATTGTAACTTATGTATTGTTAGTCAGGCATGGCTGGAAGGTCAATATAATAAATATATACAAATGAATAATGTTATGAGATTTTAGCAATTTAGACTAAACATTTGTGTTTTCGTGTTATAGTCTGTAGTCATTCTATAAAGAAAAAAGCATAATTTAATCTTTACTAAAAGTCTATCAAATTTTGTGAAGATGCACTTACTACATTAAAAGTTATAGTATAAATACTTAATTTATGTATATTTACCGAGCCCATCGTGAAAGGGTTAAAAAACTAAATTTCATATGATTTAGAAATATATTGTTTTTCTGTTTAAAACTAATCATCTAAATCTACTCCTTGAAAATTATATACTTACCAGCAACACGATCAGACTTAAAAATTCTTAAAATGACAACATACAAAGGCATTAGATTTAAAGCTTTGACCATCCACTTGATAAGACTTTCTGCAATCAAAACAATGATTCGAAGCTGAAATAAAACAATATATTATTTAATGCTTTTTTGAATAGTTTTAGCTAGTATTTTCAATATATTGGCTATGCTTACTTAGCTGTTATTAATCACAATGAGCTGACTTACATAAGAAATACTAAAAAAAGAATTTTGCATATACAGTACATTTGACACATATATTAACTGCTTAACCTAAAGTTATTATTTTCCTATACTGAAAATATATTTCCAATAGGTACTTACCTCCTCTCACATATATGGCTATTCTTGTTCAGTGTTGCCCTCTATATGCAAAAATGTTTTTGCATGACACAAGCCATGAACTCTCACAGGTATCCCATGATCAATGTGGTTCAACTGCATCTCGAATGTAAATCAACATGTGACATCTCTCCACCAACAGGAGTGTGACACATATGACTCCCTCTGATTCTACCAAACTATCACTTCAAGATTACGCAGAAAAGAAAAGCACTAGTTTTCACTGGAGAGGAAAGATAGGAAGTGTGTGAGAAGGTAAGCACCTATTAGAAATATATTTTCAGTATAGGAAAATAATAGCTTTCGATACTGTACATTACCTCCACATTGAATAGGTGGAAGGACCAGTGCAATGAAAAGAAATAAGTATCCTTTGAAAGCATCTGAAGAACATCCATGAAGCACATGTGATCCCCATTGGGAGAGGAACACACGTGGGAGATTGCACCACTTTTAAATCAAGTATATTGTGAGAAAAAAGTTATTAGTAATATTGTGGAACACCCCATCTCAATAGAGTGCTTTATTGCCCATAGGTATACTGTTTTTTTATTATTTCATTTAGCCGTACAGTGCCAACGAGTGGGATCCAAATCCTAAATGGGACATGCCCCTGGAGGAAAAAATATATACACAGTAAAGTTTGAAGGGTTGCAACAGGTGGAAGGCAGTACCCTGACAAGGAAGGTACCCAATAAAGATAGCGGGAGATGAACATACGAGGAGTAGACCACGTGCCTGACTGAAGAGTCTCCTCCAATGGATGATGATGATGAAACTCCAGACACCTGGAACAGAATTTGGGAAGCAAAAGACAGGGAGGAACAGAATAAACAAAGCAGTTGACAATCCCAAATCATAAAGATAGAAGAAGAATGGTCACATACAGATGAACGGTGTCAGGGAATGAGAAGGTGGAAACAGGAACTACTGAAGGAGACTATGCAGGCAATAGAATATCAAAGAACACATACTGGACATAGATGTCTATCTGGAGCAGACCAGGAATAAAGGTGTGAAATGGATGGAAGAGAAAAACAGTGAGAAAATCCACTGCCAGGGTCTGATGATGATGAACCAGAAACCAAAAAGGAGGTAACTTGGTGTTGGAGTAAAGTGGCAAAAGCATCCTGATAGGAGTACCCCACTGATTGCATAGCCACCTGAAAACCTGAGGGTTGAGAAACTACTCCGTGGGATAAACTGGGTTAGGTCTTGAAAAATAATCCACCACAAGGTGAAAAGCACCTGGAACATGACATACAAGGAGATTTATCCTCCTTGTATGGACCCAATAAAGGAGGTCCAATGTTTGACCAAAAAGGGAAAAGGAATGGGTACTCCCGGAGTGATTAAAACAGGCCACAATGGTGGAATTCTTGGCATGGAGCATGAAATGTCGGTACTGTACCAGTGGAAGAAAATGAACAAAAGCACATTGCATCGCCATTAGCTCCAACCTGTTGAAATGGAAATACATAACAATCTGATACCATTGCACAGAAGCTTCTTGCTGATGGACCAACATTCCCCAACCTTGGAGAGAAGCATCTGTGATCAAATGCAAATCCAGCAAGGTGGGGGAAGCAGTACTCCCTTCATGATCCTGTCCTTGTTCAAACACCAATGTAGATAGGCTGTAAGGGAAGAAGGAAGGGTAAGTGGGGAGTCCAATGGATTCCAAGCAAGATTCCATGGACCATGCAGAGACCTTTGAAGAGAAAACATATGTACAAGACCCAAAGGAATATGAGTTTCTATGGAAGCCCAAGTCCTCAAAAGTGACAGGACCTTTTGTGCTGAAACCAAGGAAGCAGTAAATGCATGGAGAACAGAAAACACTATTGAATGGAGAAGGCTGGGCTCAAATGAGGGGGTGTTAAAAAATACGTAGTGGGTAGGCAAAAGGAAACTTCACCAACTTTAGGATCCAATCAACACAAGCTGCAACTGTCAGCAGCAGATGTGTGTGTGTGTTGAGATTACTCCACATCGGAATGAGCTAACAGGAGCCAGTCATCCAAGTAATTATGTTAACACAACAGAGCATGCAGAAGTTTGGAACAAGCCATGACCACTCAATAAAATACATATGATGCTGAAGCAAGCTCGAAAGACCAGGCACAAAACTGATACACAACCCCGTAGTGAACAAACTGAAGATAGAATCTGGACTGATGAGAAATATAAGTATGAAGATAAGCATTCAAGATGTCTACCTTGTTCATCCATAGTCCAGGATAAAAAACCCTTGAATGTGATAAAGGACTCCATGGAAAATCAGGGAAGAACCAGAAACTGGTTTGGGCAGGATAGAGAAGGTTGGCTGATAGGCATGACAGCTATCTGTGATCGAAGGATCAGCATAACTTTGGATAGACTCAGGCAAGTAGCTCGATCCCAAGTTAATGTGAAGGAAATCGGTACACGAGACAAAGGTGGAGGAGAAAGGAAGAGGATGAAAAATCCTTGTGACAAAACGTAGATCACCCATGAATCAGTAGTGAATAACCACCACAGATGAACAAAATTGGCCAAACTTGCTCCCACCGACCTGGAAACAATCTGAAAGTCACTGGAACTGTTGGCGACAATGAATCCGACCTTGAGACAAACGGTGAAATTTTGAACCCCTACTGGTAGGAACTAGTAAAGGATGGGATGTTGCAGGATGAGAAACAGTTATGGGAGCTGTCATGGTATCAGAATGAGAAAAATGAATAACCAAAGACTAAAGGGATGAATGTGGACTCATAGAGTCCACACGTGATTCCAAAGACTCTGGAAAATCTCCAAAAACAAACTGATGGAGAAAAAGAGCCACCTGATAAGCCAAAGCATAAAGATCAGAAGCCCATGGAGGATGAAGCATGCTAACACCAGTTCTCAACTGAGAATTGAAATGCTCAGCAGGAACCCTGATGCCAGAGGAAGGAGGGGAAACAAGGGACCATTATGACAGGTGTCATGTAAAAAGGAAGGAACAGTATTATATGATAACGAGAAGCATATTCAAAGATGCAGAGTTAGGTCTAGTAGATCTTGTAGAAGATGCATGGGAAGAAACGTCAAAGTTAGGAGGAGAAAAAAACCTGTCAAAATCCTTCTCATCATGAACAGGATTTGGCAATGCAGGAGGAACTCAACCATTGTCGGGAGAAAAAGGACATCTCATATAACGATCAATTTCCTAAAGAATGATAGCAGAAAAATCCTCAGTTGAGACCCCCCCCCCCCAGACCAGAAGCCAGTAATGGCACTCGGAGTAGCTATAATAATATCAGAAGTTTTAAAACAAACTTTGGAATTCATTGTAAACCTTGAAGAAGTCAAAAATGAATAAATCAAGTAAATCACCAATTCAAAAAGGAGAAAAAAAAGAAAGAAATGAACACATAAAAACAGCACAATGGAAAAACATGTGCACTCGATCACTGCGTAATGAGAAGTGATAATTCGGTAGCATCAAATAAAGGGAGTCACATACATAAGGAAGGTGTGTCACACTCCTATTGGTGGAGGGTTGTCACATGATGATTTATATGAGCGACGCAGTTAAACCACTTTGATTGTGGGGTATATGGGAGTTCAAAACTTGTGGCATGCAAAAAAATGTTTGCATATGGAGGGCAGCACTGAAAGAGAACAGCTATACATGTGAGCGGAGGTAATGCACTGTATTGGAATAGCAAATTTTAGCCATAAACCTTAAAGTAAGTATATGACAAAACCTATCTTCATCTAATATGGTTAACTACTGACACAACTATTCAAATGCAAAATAGTTAATGTACATTTTTTCAGATTTGCAACATTCTACTGTCCATATCCAGATTAGAAGTATGAATAATGGCCACTTTTGGTATTAAGTGAAATATTGGATACAGTACTTGAAATTAATTCTCTCAAGATTTTATAAAGTTCATGTTTTTATTTTTCTGACACAACATTTAACCAAAGGAAACTACAACACTATTGCTATTAGACCAACTCCATAATTAGTATATTTGATGGTTCTTTTTAGACAATGGTCTTTGCTTTGATATAATATTGAAGGGAATTGATTTTCCAGTCTTTATTCAAAACTTGTTTAAGGACAATCCTTTAAAAGTGCAAAAAACAAATTTCAAACAGTTATAATCTTCTAGAATTCCTAATTTTGGAAATTATGAATTTTATCATTCTTAACTATCTGGTACACGCTGTCTTGTATTATAATTCTATCTTTTTAAATATTATTATGCATCTGATGCAACTTACAACTGAAAACACACAATAGTAGACCAATGTGGTAGGTAGTAAAAAAAGCAGCACTGTGAACAACATTGTTCCTATAAATAGTTCTCGGTGACTATACTCATGAGAGTCTACACGATTACGTAGTGGATTCCACTTCTTTCCTCGAAACAATCTCCACAGAGCCGATAATCCAGAAAACTGTAGTCCATATAACCTATGTAACAAAAATATAAACCTTTATAAGCAAGACATACCTTTTAAATAACACAAGTAAAAATAAATTATTATACAAAAGCATGGAATACTAACAGATCATAAAATATAGTCATAGAATGTGTTGTAAAATATGATATATAAAAAAAACAGAATCTTGTATTTTAAGAACCCAAGAGTGAAAGCAAAAGAGAATATGTTATAATATGTCAACAACTTTCATCCAATACCAGGGATCATCAGGTTGGCTGGGATTTGATAGACTACTTTTATAAATTGATCTGCCAAAACTTTCTTCACAAGTGTTACGCTAAAATAGGCAGTTGCTGTCCATTTCATCTTTGCTTGTTCATCTTCAAGATTCTGTCTAAATCATCTATAAAAGGCATAGTAATGGTCTATTTGCTATATATCCATCATCAATTTTCATGAACAACAATTGTCAAGGTATGAATCAGATTAAGTAAGTAAATTGTACTTATTGTAATTGTTATCAATTTCATTTATGTCATTTACAGGTCAGATTACAGAATGTTATTTTTATTTCATGTGAATACCTTTTTTCATCTATTTCATTTATTTATTATTATTTTTATTTGAATTAACTTTACTAACATTCGATGGAACTGACAAACCAGTAAATTATTTTTGTTGTTGTACAAGTTAGAGTATCTAGCATGTTGACTCATGTACTTCATAATGCATTTTGTATGTATGTCAATGCCTGTCTCCATGATTCATGTTTAAAACATTGTGTGTATCGATAAGTGTACGTCACGTTGGCACTTGGGATATACAGTGTACAGATATATGGTTGACAGTAAATCATGTTTACTTACATATTTTTAATGTACTGTGTATAGGACAATGCACATTTCATACTGACTTTCAACTAGAAGAATTTTATAAACACAATAAAATAAGGTACTTTAAGAAAAATTGTTTTTTCTAATGAATATTTGCTCTTTATTTAATACAGTTGTTAAGGTATGTTTTATACATTTTTAAACATTTTTTAAACATGTATGAATATAATATCTTAAAACATATCTCTGTGGCCAGTACAGAAAAATAAAAAATCAGCAATGTGGTTGGCATATTACAAGTATAAAATTAAGTTGTTTCCTTTAAAACTTGTAAATACAAGCAAACAAAACAACAAAAAATGCATTGCTTACTAAATTGCCAACTGATTTGAATTTGACCTAAAGCATTGAAAAATTAAATTTTTCAACAAGATGATCTGTAACACTATCTTTCAGTTAGCTATATTTATACCAGCAGGTTTAGTGATTTTAATAAATCCAAAATCGACCATAATTAATATCAAATGACTAGAAAGCATTATCAATTTGTTCAAATGTCATCACAAATGTGACTGCCAAAACAAAGTAAGAATGAAAGCAATAGGCTTTGTGCTTTGAATTTGGCTACATGGAAGTTACATAGCCAAAAAACTGTACAACTGACTAACTTTTTTTAATAGATAAAACTTTTGCACTAATTACATGTAGGGATAGTATGCACATAATATTAAAGCTTTAACAAGAGTATTACTGTCTTAAAAACAATAAATATACTATGGTATATGACATACATTTTACTAATTAACAAATGTCCATCAATTTTGAAAATCTGCTTGAAAAATTCAAAATATTTTAATTAAATTAACAAATAGCCCACAGTCTAAAGAAAAAACAGGAATATAACTACTCGAACGTATAAAACCAAAGTTCTAAAATTTTAACATAAATAGAATAAATCTTGAGATATTTTTTTTATGGTCAACATTCACCAATTTTGTTACGTTCCTGATATCAACTTCATAACTGCTCAACAGCAAAATACATTTTAAACTAATCTAAATAAGTGCTGAATGAAGCTAAAAGGTTTTTTAACTCAATATTAATGATATCTGTATATGATATAATCAATAAATCCACTAACAAAGTAAGATGAAATGAGCCTCTTTACACCGAGATCAAAAACTTGTCTGGAACAGCAACTTTTAAACCTTCCGAACATCCAGGGTTCATGCTTCAGGTAGAAACATCTAAGCTCTCTACCACTGTTTTCATTGTACTTATCATAAGACATGTTTATGTGTTAGCTAAGATTATCAAGTTATGGTTAAAGTAAGACAATATAATTTTGACAAACCTTGTAGCATAGCCATAAAAACAGTAGATGTGAATAGTAGCTACTGATAATAAATCACTAAGAAGGCTGAGATGAAAAGTAACTCCACAAATTCCAATGAAAATGAAAGATTCCAAAATAAAGGTGAAGACAGGTTTAAGTACTGATATATATGCTGAAATATAAATGAATTGTTAAGTCAGTTTGAAAAGTATAATCCAAACATGTACAAAAACTTTCAACATTCCTACAGTTACTACTAAAATGATTACATAACTAAAATAAAACAGTGAATTAAAAAGGATCAGTGAGCATATTAACTCAATTAATTGAAGATCAATGTGTCCATTTCTCACTCAAATATATTAAAAATAATGCCACATTTAACTGTGATACAGTAATTTCTTTTTTAATGAACTTTTAAGTTACCTACTTCATTTACATGTATAATTCTATTGTTGCCAATCTTACTTAACTATGAAATTTAAAGAAAAGCATGTTCTAGTTGAAAGATAAAGTTTCTTCACACAAATAGTTGTAACAATAAACATAAATGTAATACAGTTTAATTCAACAAATATACTGTCCTTCTGAAAATGATAGGGATATTGTGTGTGTGTGTGTGTGTGTATGATATTGAAAATAAAGGCAAACGTCATTAACACATTCACGACATTGTGCACCACCAGTGGTACATTTGCATGTTTTCTGTTGGACGTCATGAGCTACCTGTGGTACACAACACCCATAAGATATAACTGCACCTCACATCTCCAAAGTCCTATATGAAAGCATATACTTTGTACGGACGGCTATAATAAAGCCACGCATTCCATCATGTACCACTGGTGGAGCACGGATGCCATGTTGAAAGGACAACTGAAATAAAACAAATTTACTAGATTAAATCACTTCATATTTATTAAATGGGTAAAGACAGGACATCATGTATCACCAGTGGAACACCCAAGAGAAAGCTGTCAATGCAGTCATTCTGTCATAAAACATAACGTAAAGCCATAAAATTAGCAGTATCTAAAACAGAGTTCACAAGGAGGCTTAACATTCCTATTGCACATAATTAGAAAAATCACTTACACCACAAATGTGTTAAAATATGCTTTTCTTGTTTATCAATGGTAAAGACTCATTATTGCATAAAGGTAAATTGAAGACTGTTTTTCAAAAGCTTATAATGAATGCATATTAACAGTTCTTCACAGACTGACTAAATATAAAGGTTATAGACCTGCCTATTACAGAATAATATAAATTATCAGTTGAGGGGTTGTAAAATGTCAATAAAAAGTCTAAAAACTGCCTATCAAAAAGCTATACACTGTCAAAGAAATGTAATTAGCTTCCTATCAAAGATTACTGAAAGATTAAACTGTCTATTGAGGTAATAGATTGACTATAAAAGGACTATGGGACAAATAGAGCTATGGTCACAGAAAACTATTAATTAATATAGTATATCTACATAATGGCTTTTAAGTTTAAACAAAATAGGTATGGCAATGGTTAAAAAAACTACCATTTCCTATACAACATCCACACAACATTAGTTATACAAAAACAAACAAAAAACACACAAATCCCACTATTGGTGAGAAATGCATAAAACTATGCTCTTAACTAAAAAGATTACCTGTGAGGCTTCTGTTTTATCTGAGACAGAATACATGCTCATTTCAATAATACAGTGCACATTCTACACTTAATGAATCAATCTATTCAAAGCTGAAATTCTGTCTCTGCATTAGAAAAGGATCATATGGATAAAACACATACTTAGAAAGTATCTTAACTGATAAGCAAAAAAACCAACAAAGAGTGGGATAAGCATATAGAAAGAAGTGAGACCAGGTCTGACTTACAGCATCAACAGCCAGAGCTGAAGGATAAGAAAAAGGGGATCAAAAGAGAGGAAGTCCTGAGATGAAGATGGTGGCAAAGGCATTTATGAGTGGTGTGCCCAACTGAGAGCAAACCCTGCAAAAGAGCTGGGGTCATAGAAACCACTCCATCAGTAGAATGTGGACTGGTTCAGAAAGTCTGTCACCAAGTTCTTAGCTCCCAGCAAATTACAAGCAAAGAGACAAACCCAAAATGAATGTGATCAGAATAGTATGTCAAATGCCTGAAAGCAAAGGGTCTTGGAATGGGTGCCTCCGAGATGATTGGTGTAAGAAATGATAATGGAATTGACCAAATGGATTATGACCAAGTGATCCACCAGTAGAAGCAGGAATGTGAACATACTCAATAAATATCAAGAAGTTTGAGCACGTTGAAGTAGAATGAATGCTCGCCCTGCATTCAAATACCAGAAGTTATATACTTGTCCAGAGATATGGCTCAATCAGAGGGAAGCAGTGATGAAGAGATAGATTTGGTTTGAGAGTCAGTAATGAAGACAATGGAAGCCAAGAAAGAAACTCTTGGATATACAAGGTCTTCTGAAGGAGGTGCATGTGCATGCTCTTCAAAGAAATGAGGGGTTCCACAGAAGCAATAATTCCCAAAAGTGAAAGAACCTCTTATGCAGGAAGAGAATGAGAAGTGCAAAATCTGGTGACCAGAGATGCTATAGCTCGCAGATGAAGAGGAGAGGGCTTAATTTGGCCTAAACAAGAGGTGAAGAGAATGCCTAGAAATAACAAATATTGAGTGGGCATGAGAAAGGATTTAGATCTCATGATATGCCCCCCTCCCCCAAACCTAGTAGCCTACTGTGAAAGAGGGGAGGTGTGTGAAGAGGAAACCATCTAAAAATGGGCCATCAGAAGTCAAACATCCAAGAAAAAGGAATGCCAATCCAGGGCTGTGAATATAGTGAGAGAAGGCCCTCATGGTACCAATAAATACAATAGGGACTGACATCATGTCCAAGAGAAAGCAAAGAATGGGAAAACAAAAAATTGATGGATGGAACATAGAAAATATATGGAGGATGGGTCAAGAGTGACATGTAGGAAGGTATCTGACATATCGGCCATGGCCCACCACAGACTGGATGAAAAAAATAACCAAATGGATCGGAGGAAGGAGAAAAGGAAATTAGAAGAGAATCTAGAAGAGAGACCAAGGTGGAGCAACAAAAAAATGACCGCTGACAGAAAATGAGACCAACAACAGGAGAAGAGATGAATACCCACAGGGTCAGACATGACATGATAGTCAGTGACAAGAGTGATGAATTAGACATCTAGAAGAGAGAAGAAGGGAAAAAGAGGGAGGCCTGGAACCTGGAATGAGAAGGTTATGGATAGACTGATCAAAACCAGGAACAGAAGTAAAAGGAAAGGTCGAGAAAGAAGAAAACCTTGGGAAGATAATGAGGATCGAAGGCATACAACATCAGTCCAGGTCTCCAGGGAGAAATGAACACCACTGAAGACATCAGGGCAAAGAAAGGAAGCTTGACAAAGATCGTGGACACAAGAAGAAGGAAGGAGTACAGTAAAGAGTAACATAACCCAACTCAATGAGTCTCAAGATCAGGGGAACAAAGTAAGAAGTAAAGAGGGATAGAGCAAAAGAAATGGAACAAGCTAAGCTGACAAAGATAAGTAAACAAACTTCTACACGATGAAGTGCCTCATACAGTAGGAGAGCAAATACAGGAGAGTAGTGAGAAAAAGACAAAAATGGGGAACCAGAGAGCAAAATGGAAGGTAAGAGACCCAATCCCAAAGTCAGCCAAATAGATATCAAAGACAAGAAATTGAGAAAATGAAAGGAAAACAGCCTGCAAGTCAGAACAAAAAAAGTCCTGAAAGTGAGGGAGACAAGGCATTTGGGTGTGAGAGAGGAGCTGTTAGAGAAACAGTATAAAGCCTAATAACAAGCAAGGAGGAAAGACAAAAAACTCCAAATATTTTGAATCATGGAGTAAAAAATGCAAAATAATAAAGGACACAGACAAAATATAAGGAAAGAACATACATGAGAACAAAATCCAGAAAGAGATTGGAAGGTTAAGGTCATTTCTCAAATGGTAAGGCACTACCCAAAACAAATCAGGTGAAATTCATTCCCAACTGAGGAAAAAACTTTTGGCTGACAGGGTGGGAGTAGGAGGTCCAGTAAACATGTGGTAATCCATAACATGTTGAATAATGGTTGCAACAACAAGCATCCAGAAATCAAAGTAGAAATAAGGCTTGTGTGTGAATAATGTCCTTCACACTAGACTAAGGATAAATCACTGTCATTTGAGAATCCGAGATGAAAAAATTAAAGCTTTTGAAACAAAAGCCAAAAAAAAGAAAAGTTTTGTTAACAATACAAATCTCAAAACATCAAACTTAGACAAGAAATTTTAAACATATATATTAGATACAATGCTGTGGAGAAAAATGAAATTATTATGAATATAAGTGCATAAGGGGAATTACTGCTCATGGAGGTTGTATCACCCTCCAATTGGTGGAGGTTTTTTTTTGTAGGATGACATCATCATGCACCAGTACACTCATGTTAAACACATGAAATTCAATTAAATGGGAGATTTGCCTCAAGACTGGTGGCATGAAAATCTCATAGGCAGACACGCAAGGAAGATAGCTTTTCTGTATGCAAAAGTGAGGTATCCTCTCAGAATCTAACCTTTACATTCTGGTTCAACATATAGATAACACTTTTACAAATGATATAAATTCTGATACTTTTTCACAAACTTTTAAAATAAAGACATGACATTATTACATCACAAAAAACAAGAACCTTACATGTGGATGTGTATATACATAAATCAGAAAAAAAGGTTTCTTATTGTAACCTTAAATGTATATACTTAGAATCTAGCTCATGATCAGGTTCAGAAATTGGCTGTTATACAAATCCTTTTAAGTAATGTTAAAGTGATGCATAATAGAAATTACAATTTCCTCCTGGAAACCAAATCATTCCTCATTTCTTTAACCGAGGCAAATAGATAAAACACATTACACATAAAAGTAATTATGTTAAATTTTAATAAAATCTCTATAGTTTTAAATGCTTATGTAGCCACCAAAGTGAAAAGTTGATTTGCATGTATATGTATGTGAGAGGTAATACTGAATTTGTTTTGTCAGTCACTTAATGCAGGGTAGGGCAAAAATGACTATACAGTTGTTTCATTTCTAACTATTATTCTGAAACAAACAATAATTAAATTTGTTTCAATGGTCTTAGTAATATTTTCTTTAGTACCAATCATATAATACCAACTATACCAACTGCATAGTAACTTTTTGCCCCACCCTATATATCTAAAAACATGAAATAAAGAAATTAGGGCATTGCAAGACCAAATAACGTAATACCTTCTATATTCTTTTATGCAGTATTCAGAATTTGAAATAGTGTATGTTTAAAATTTAATCATTTTTCTTATTCTTTAATAATTAAAAGGTAAAAGTGTATTTTTTCTCAATTGTTTTATTAATGAACTATACAGAGAATACATAGAGTGACCAGAACAATGGCAGGATGAAGGCAGACTCACAGACAAACAGATGCCCCATGGGGAGTGAGGTGGGGTCAGACTGAATGCCAAAATGCCAGCCCCCAACAACATTAACTTGGGTTGAAATTGGTAAAACAAAGTGAAAGCATGATAAGCAGAAACACAGATGAAATTTCTACATTACATGTATATATATATATAGATGGAGAAAAAGAGAGAAATGAAATACTTACTTTTCCATAGATATATATGATACATGAAAAAGCGCCCAAGAGCATCATTTAAAGGTCTGTTCAGTTTCAGTCCAGCTGGGACGCCCATCAACCAAAATATTAATTCTTGTAATGTGTTTACTAGAACCTGCAGAAAAAGAATGACAGCAACCTGACATAACACAAGCATCCATGCCATGTCCCACTAGATGATATACACCTGGTAGTGACTAGAAATGTCTTATACATGATTATTAAGAAACACAATCAATAGATATTAGTTTTATATATATTTCTATATTTGGTTTTAATGGTACAACACTTATTTCTTCACAGCTTATTACACACATGATCCATGGCTATAAAAAAAAGGATTTTAAAAAGTAGAAAAGAAAGAAATGATAAGTAGAAAACAGTTTTCAGCACTGCTCTTCTAAACAATTAGTAAACCTTTGGTTGATTGTAACCCCAAAACATAAAAAAAACTGAATCTTATACCAAATAATTTGACTAAAGCAGGCAAAGATAATTAAGAAAATAAAAAAAAACTAATTCTGGAGTTAGTGACCAATATATACCATGGTACCATAAAACTATATTGTTTATCTAGAAATAAATAAAATCACTCTGAAATAAAATGCAAATCTTTATTTCCCAAAGTTTATTACTCCCATTTAAAGTATCACAAGATTACCATTAAGCATGAAAACTACCACTCTTTGAATGAAACTAGAATTTCTAATAGGGTTTCTTACGTGATACCACAGTGTTGAGTCCACAAAATCACTATGCTCTGGAATGAAATTAAAATCTCCATCTAACAGAACAAGTGATCTATAATACCACCAAAGATAACATTTTCTTACAATGAAAATGTATTTCCGATAAGTACTTACCCCCTCTCACACAAAGCCATCTCGATTTTCTTTCTGCTCCCTAAGCACTGCTAAAAAAATTTATTGCTCAGCGCAACAGTCTATATACCCCACAAATTTTGAACATGTATATAGCATGTGTTCACCCTCCACCAATAGTATTGCACCACCTAAATTGGTGTAGTTATTTCCCTCTGATTTTCCTGCTCAATCCTCACTTTTGAGAATTGGCAGGATCTAAAATAAATAATATCAGCAGTGGGTAGGAAGGGTGGGAAGTGTGTGAGAGAAAGTAAGTACCAATCAGAAATACACTTTAAGTGTAAGAAAATGTTAACTCCCAATTCAGTCTTACTTCTTTCACACAAGGTTAGAATCTCACATTGAAAAGGTGGAGGGGCTGATGTAGGCACCTACCAGTGAAACCAAGTGGAAAGCGGCCACCTAGAAATAACAGGGGTGCTCAGAGATGAAACAGAAGCACACATGTGGAACACCACACTACTTCTGGAACAGGTATGTTTTTTACCCCGTAAGAAGGAAATGAACCTGATATGGGTGGAAAAAAAGGATGTGCACAAGTTTAGTTCGTTCTGAGAGGTGCAATCCATAGTAATAAAATGGCATGAATTTAAATCATCCTCCATCGCATAAACAAGACCAGAAAACAGCCAGCAAGTGAAGAGCTGCTTTATAAAATGAAAACTCAAAGCAAACTTGATACCTACATGAGGAGAAATGGCAATTCAAGGGACAGTTTGCCAAAATGTTACAATGGAGAAAAACATCTAGCTATGGCAAGGTATCTATCTATCCAAGCTCAATTGAAAAGATGAGGTTCCACACCTCGTCCTTGGCAGTAGAAGGTTGAGGATCACCCAGATAAAAATGAAATGAGAGTAACATAAACATTGTGGCCAGGACATGTGGACCATGTGATATATATATATATATATATACACCAAACCCAACCCTGAGTAAACAGTGTGTCATACATCAAGCAGCCGGAATCATGAAGAGGAAGTTAGTGTTTGGCCAAAACCAGACAAACTCCCAAACCCACCGTAGGACCATTAAGTACAACAAATAAAACACAGCATTACAGGGTCATGTAGTTGCCTCAACTGTAAGTACAGGGTAATGCCTGTAACCAGAGTTAAAAGCAGAAATTGTAACTCACCCAACCATAAATGCGGGTAAGACACATCTCGCACCCAGAATTACAAGGATGTGGAACATTTGCTCAATTGTAGGAACAGTGTACGTATGTCCTGTTGCCAGTATAACGAGGCAGACGAAGTCCCCCAAACTCAACCATAAGAGCAGAGAAGGAAACCTCCTGCAATTGGAATTAATGAGAAGTGGGGCTTCTACTGTATTCAACCATGGGAACAGGGCAGTGTCATCTTGAACCCAGTATCACAAGGAGAACCCCACATAGACTGGTATTGATCCAACTGACATTCGGTCCACCTGGGAATAAGCATCCAGGGGAAAGGGAAGAAGGAAACCCAGCTTTGCCCTCTTCTCATTGAATGCATATATGTATGGTTGTATTGTAAGGTAAATTTCTACTTCACACTCAGGAGGAATCCTCCTTGGTCCATCACCCCAGTGACTGGGAACTGGTAAGGACTCCTGTTTTCCACTTGGATAAAAAAAAAAGGGGGGGGGTAGATGCAATGGGAAGTCCAGAGGAATGTCACACTGGAGAAAGTGCAATGGGTGTCCATAATTCCCTATTTTGAAAAGCAGACCCCTTTTACTTTACTCATGATAATCCATCAGTGACGGTCCACCATTGAGTTAAACTTACTGATATCTAAAGACACACAAGTATATACCGATAGTGATCTTGCAGAACACCCCATCTCTACAGTGAGCATTATAGCTCTACTGGTATATAATGCAGGTTTGAGTGAAAGCAAACCTGACCAGGCAACACTCACCATAGAATGGGGTCTTATTAGTAGCAGTAAAAAAGGGACTCTGAAAAGAAAACAGAAATGAAATGTTAAGAAAAGACATACACAAGTCAAAGGTGAATGGATGTGCGTAAAATTATTAGGGAAGGGAGAAAATATCTACCTCAGAAAGATAATGCAGATAATGAGGGATGAAGGAATAGGGAGTAGTCCACATTCCAGCCTGAACAATTTCTTCCAACAGATGGCAAAGAAGATCAACCAAAGACATGGTGATATGACAAATTTGATGAGAAGATATGATGACAAGACAGTGAACTTCCATGGATAAGTCTGAATACACCAGCCTAAAGAGGTGATGATCAACCAATTAGTGTGACAGGGGTTAGATCACAGGAAACAGAAGGGTTCCAGGGAATAAAAGGTCAGGAATGTGAACTTCGAAAGGAAGCAGTATGTGCCATGTAACACCATAGGGAGTGAACCTGACAAAGAAGCCAGTCAGAATCGGAATGAGAGTACAGATGGGTGATGGAAGGTAACGAAATGGGTGTGAAAGCCAAATGGCCTTACCGGGCAACAGAGGTATTAGGAAGGAAGGATCAGCCTGGATATAGGACTACATAAGAGTATTGGTAGAGGATTTTGGCACAAACATCTGATCAACGATGTCCACAAGCTGGAAGGAAAAGGAAATGTGTAATATACCCCATACCTGATTAACTACCTGTAAAAAAAAAAAAGTGTGAAAAGTGAGATATCCTATAGAGGTATAGAGTGTGACAGACCAAAATAATAAGGTGCCAGAAAAAATTAATCCAATTTTTCTTCTCCTTGATAGTATTCATCCTCAGAAACATTATCAGGTTGAAAATGAGAAGGAATAGCCGGCCAACTGTAGGAATCTAACTCCTGCGAAGTAAGGCCTGTAACTCTTTAGTAGATAAATTCAAACCCAATGCTTGAGTAGTCATACCAGAAACATTGCCTACTATAACGAGAACTTCTATTGCCATATATTGAATCACGAAATCATTAGAAGTTACCATATAATTTGGTAACAAACAACAAATGCAAAAAAAAAAAATTAACAATTGAATGCACACACACAGTAAAAGAAACCTGTTGAAGAAGGTATTGAAATGTCAAAGGAGTACAATCGTAAATGATAGTCACATGCAAAATCCCAGAAAGATTGCGGGGGGAAAATCAGAGAGAGCTAGCTGCGGCAATATTGGTGGAGGGTGGTCACATGTTATATACATGTTCAAAAGTGGCACGAAATTTGTGAAGTATATAGACTGTTCTGCTGAGCATTAAAACTTTTTAGCAATGCTTATGGGGCAGAAAGAAGATCAAGAAGAGGTAAGACTGCATCGCAACTTAGAAAGTAAGAGTAATATATTGGGAGCCTGTTTCATGCTTTCCTATTCCTATTGTGAAGTATATAGACTGTTCTGCTGAGCATTAAAACTTTTTAGCAATGCTTATGGGGCAGAAAGAAGATCGAGAAGAGGCAAGACTGTATCGCAACTTAGAAAGTAAGAGTAATATATTGGGAGCCTGTTTCATGCTTTCCTATTCTAAGTCAGAGTTCATAAAAAATCTTAAGAATAAGTTACTTACTGTGATGACTTCTAAAGCATCATCTAACAGTTTATCCACTTTAACCGTTTTCAGAAGGAAACAGATAAGCATGAAACCAAGACAAAGGTCTAACACAATTGAAGATATAATATTTCCAGATCTGAAACAAAAACATGAACACTTTTAAAAATATTAGCTTTGTGTATTACACACTGTAATTATTTTTATAAAATATGAAATTACCTTTCTGTTCATTAAAATAATTTATTGAATGTCAAAACTCACAAGAATCAGTCTCCATTGGTGGGTTAGTTTTTGTCACAAGAGGATATTGATTGGATTATAAAACTTTAAAAAGTGAAGCTCAAACAGCTTTTTATACATATATATATACATAGTATGGAAAACAAGTACAGCCTTCAATAGCAAGTTTTTGAAAAACTTGAAATAGTTGAGGTGTTTTTCTAACCTGTGAAATTCATAGAAAAAGAAATAAGACAGAGATCAGGCGTAAATAAAGTCCATCTCTAAGCTAAAATATTAAGAGATTTCACCAACTGACTAGTGGATCACCATTAGCTTCAGCCTCCCTTCATTGGTTATGCAAGAATGGTAAATAGCATCACTCAAAATTAAACCAATTGGCTTCTAGAGGTCTAAGGTTTTCATTACTCTTCAACTTATATATCCATTTAGAATGTTCTGCGAGTAACAACAGTTGTTATGATGTGTATGCCTTTTACAAGCTGGAGAAGAATGATTACAATTATACTTGTCATAAAACATTAGTATTAGGCCTATTACATTTTTAAGCACTTCATTCTTTATCTTGTGCTTTAGGATTTGCAAAAATTGAGCGAGTGTATAATAATTGTATTCCACCCATATTATATTTGTTATATCCACTGTTGACGATGTGTTTTGCTTAATCCAGAGATTTTCAGGTCAGTTGGGATACAAAAACACGGCAAGGGTCAGAACAACAACAATCATTATACACTCTTCTAATTATTGAAAATCCTTACAAGACTAGATAAAGAATATAGTGTTTAAAAATGTAATAAGCCCAACACAAATGTTTTATGACAAGTATAATTTTAAATATTCTTTGCCAGGTTATAAAAAGGTGAACACACCATAGCAATTACTTTTGTCTCAAATGGCTTATATAAATAGTGTTCCAACCATTGCTGTGTTTGTTTTATCTCAGCTGGCCTGAAGAGCTCTGGATTGAGCAAAACATGTCATCGGCATTGGATATGACAGATATAGTGTGATTGAAATACTATTATTATACTGTCTTCTAATTCTTGAAAATCCCTAAGGGATTAGATAAAGAATGTAGTGTTTAAAAATGTAGTAAACCTAATACTAATGTTTAATGAGAAGTACAGTTGTTCTGAGATAAAGTTTTGAACTGAATAAGAAAAGTTGAATGTGATATTCTGTCTCATGACATAGAAATAAAGCCTAGGATTTTAACAATATGAAAATAACAATGTAAACATTTTATATAGTGATATGATTTTAAATGAACTTTAAGGTTTCTTGATGTTTTAGAAAAATTACACAAAAGTTTTATCAAAATAGATCCATTTTAAGATAACTAATTCTGAGGCCTACAATATTTCTACTTCTACAGAAATCATCCATCCACTTATATAATTAAAATAAATTGTCTCCTTTTCCCTCAGCTACAAAAACATTGAGCATATTATTAGCAATTATGAAAAACACATAAGACTAAGTGAACCAAAACATTTTTTTCAATAGATGTCACTGTTAGGTAGGATAATCTCACTGATTCACAGACAGAACAGTCACAGGGATTCTACCTGTTACTCCAATATGTTTGTGATTTGACAGCTGACTGCTAAGAACCTCATAATGTATTTACAGCAAAGTGTTATTTTACAAAATCAAAAACAAATATATAATGACAATACATAAATTTTTACAGAGGATCAGCTTAAAAAACAATTAAAGTACTTTTATATATAGTAACAAAATGTGTTTGTCCAGGGTAATTACACTTTTTAAAGAAATCAAATGTAAGACATGTAGTCTGGCTTTTACTGTAGAATATCAAGATATAAGCATATGACTGAAAATATGTTAAAATAATTATTTATAAATATTAAGTCATATATGAAATAACAGAATGTATTACTATTTTCAATTCATTTGTGATAAGGTAAGTACTTCTAATAAAATTATAAAATACAAAGAAAACAATGGGGGTGATAAGTAAAACTTATCTCTGTCATTGGCAAGCCAGCTTCCAAAATGGTTAAAACCAACAGTAAGTTAGAGCTATTTGTAGTAATTAAATCTTGCTAGCAATTAACTGTCCTCAAAACAGACAGTAGCACTCCCGTACACAGGGGGTGGGGGTGGCCATAATCCTTATTTTTGTGATGTAAAAAAATTATGCTTATATAGTTATAGCACAGCTGCTTATGGTATTTAAAGTTTTGTATGTTTGGATTTTATGTAAACAGCCATGCAATTGTTTAAACTATACTTCATGCAAGATTGTGTCCAGATTTAATCTCATAGCACCTATTTTTTCACAAATCTTTCTGAGAGGCATGCCCCCAAACCCCACAGCATCAGTATGCTTTGTATGCTGGTTATGCTTCACACAATATATGTTGGCGTTTGATCTCAGAAATTCGAACCCCTCCCCTTTCAAACATTCTACATACAGGCCTGAGTAAAATGGTAGTTTAAGTGCCGGATTGTGGGCTAGAGCATTTACAATTGTTCTTAATCATGATTTACACATATGAGGCTAATAAATATAGAAAGAAATTTAATCTGATATTAAAAATTGTATCCTACTAATATTTGGGTCCTAATTCCATAGATTCCTCTCTCACTTGGACACACTCTACTATTCTCACTCTGTGTCATGTGAAAAGTTAATTGCAAATGCCCAATCTATAAACAACTAGAATATACTGTCATCACAGTTATGTTTAACCATATGCTGTAATCTTGGTTATTTTCATCCACATACTATAATCTTGGTTATGTTTATTGATTTACTGTAACCATAGTTATGTTTATCCATTTACTGTAATCAGTTATGTTTATTAATTTGCTGTAGCCATAGTTATGTTTAACCATATACTGTATGAGTTTGAAATTTCTATAACCTATCTGGTTTCATTTGTTTATCAATATTTATGAAACTACTTATTTTAAACTTTGTTAAATTATATATAATCATTTATATCTAGATCCATTACACAGTATTACATTGATTTTCTTTTAGTTGTTAAGACTAATTTAATACTTTTTAACTTATATACAAACAAATGTAACTTAAACATCTAACCTGAGAGAAACTGAACCATCCTTATGAAGAGAATCTTGAAGGTAAAGTAACTGGTTTCTACGAATGTAAAACTGATGTCCAGTGGCTGTTTTTCTTAAAGTTTCTTTGGTACCTTCAGGAATGCTGTGAATTACAAATTTTTTAGAATCATAAGATAAATTAGACAAATTAAACATATATTAGTTAACCTTATCTTAGTCTTCTGTAAAAATTTCAATAGTCACTCTTCCTGGGTCTGAGCAGACCCCACCATAAAAAATTAATTTTAAAATATTTAAATAATAATAAATGATTATTTTGGAAACAAAAATCACTAACCCTTAAAATTTTTTACTTTATTAATCAATAAATGAACATTGAATATTACAACTTGTTTCTTTTTTTACCAATTTTTTGTGTAACAATTTAACACAAACTAGCCAAATACTGAAGCTATCAAGAACAACAAACATGTACATGCTTCCATCTGTTGGCACTGATGTTTACAAAATATATGGGGTCCGTGAAGACCCTGGAAACTAATGCAGCATTAAATATTTTCTAATTACTGCTGCAAGTTAGGTACTTTAAAATAACAACTGAAAACAATTTTATATTTGAAATAAAGTGTCATATTTGGAATAAGCAACTAATATAAGTGTACTTGCATGATTGGAACATAAGAAGAAAAAAATTTAAATTGACCATACAACTGTCAAAAGTATGCCATATTTAAAACTAATACATTACACATCTATGGAAACACCACTTATTAATCAAAAATACATATATGATTAATACTAAATACAGGGTGAAATTCTGCCAGTACTCACCGATACCGAGTATCGGAACATATTTTTAAGGTGGTACTAGTACCAGGCCTTATTTGAGCTGCTCCGTCATTTTTTGTATTTCCACATAGATTTTTTTTCTTTTTAAAAAACAGGTCCACTTCACCCAGCTGAGTACCTCTACTTATTTTTTGAGAATTTCAGCCCTGACTAAATGTAGGGGGAAAAAAAAGTGCCTACTTCGAACTAAAACTGATGGGTAAATGTGCTCATGCATGGCCTTTTGATACCTCATTTGATCTTATTTATCCTGTTTATATGATGGATTATTGGCCTTTTTTTATTTTAAAACATTAAAGCAAATAAAATTTTTGTTCTTTAGCCCTAAAATATTTTTGAGATATTCTGTATAATTATGTTTATCCATATACTGTAATCATAGTTATGTTTAATCATATACTGTAATCTTGGTTACATTTATCCATATACTGTAATCATGGTTACATTTATCCATATACTGTAATCATGGTTACATTTATCCATATACTGTAATCATGGTTACATTTATCTTTATATTGTAATCATGGCTATATGTATCCGTATATTGTAATCATAGCTATATTTATTCATATACTGTAATCATAGTTATGTTTATTCATATACTGTAATCATAGTTATGTTTATTCATATACTGTAACCGTAGTTATATGTATCCATGTACTATAATCATGGTTATATTTATTCATATACTGTTATATTGCTTATATATATATATATATATATATATATTGTAATCATAGTTATATGTATCTATATACAGTAATTGTAGTTATTCTTATCTAACATACTATCATCTTAGTTATGTTTATCCATATACTGTAATACTAAATGACAGTTCTGTAAAATACTTTGCTGATTCCCCTACAGGGTAGTAAGAAATTATTTTACATACAGTGTCTGAAAGGTCTAATTTAATACTAATTATTCAGCATCAGTATTTGTACAGTTGAACTACCAAATCTAAATTTCTATTTATTTATAGGACATTATCGAAGACAGACTATGAATATTATACTCCACTTTGTATACAGAACAAAACTAATTTTGAAAGTATCCAACAGCCTGAACCTGAAGACACCAGAGTTTAGTAAGAAAACAATCAACATGGTGTCATTGCAATATTAGATATGAAAAGTCCAAGTTATTTGTAAAAAATGAGCCCAGAAGAAGGAGGAGGAACAATTATGGTGTCTATAATCTTCAAAATAAACTGAAAGTTACACACTCACAGGTAATATAACCATTCTCATATGTGGCACAAGAAAAATCTACTTCCTGATACTGTAACACATCACCTCAACATAACCTGACTTCACTTAATTAAAACTATAACTTCCAGCATCTGCATGCATGGATTTTCAACAATATTTCAATGTGGACTTAGATTCCTAGTCCTACACAATATGACTTTCTTAGAAGAACAAAAAAACTCAAAACACATAAAAATTCAAACTTATATTGTTACATAACTTACATATTATTACAATGGTCTTAGAATTATAAAAACCTATACATTCAATCCCTACTTCACAAATTATAATGATAACTTCACTTCATTGCTAGATATATTATAATCTTTAAATATAAAACTTAAGATGCAATTTGTTCTTTCATAACAAGATTTTGTTGTGTGATGTGTATATTGTTATATTAAATTCACTTAGTTTTAATTGTTATTTAAGTATAGAAAAATCACGCTTTGTAAAGGTTGGCTGGTTTGTTACTTCTTTGAATTTTTGAATGAATGGAGATATTATTTAATTGGGCCAAGTGGTCTTACATTACTTTCAAACATTGCCCCCCAGTGGCAAAGTGGTACATCTGCAGACTTACACTGCTAGAAACTGTGTTTCGATATCCCATTGTGTAGCTTTGTGCTTAACTACAAACAAATAAACTTTCAAACAAAACTTGTAATGATTGCTTGCTCAGATACTTACTTATTAAACAGTATTTTGTAACAAAACTGGTGACTATTGCTGATCCACATAACTAAACTTAATAAAACATTTGCTACAGATGACTTAATACACACAAATAAAAATTCTGCAACTGTTCTCCACTCAGATCTCAGCAAAGTACTACTACTACTAATAGCAGTAGTACTAGTTCTACGTTTTGCTATGGGCATTTTCTTGCTCTTCTCATTAATGACATTATTGTTTTTCATCAGCAAAAAAGCAACAAAACCTCTGTGGCCTTCTTCATAAGTTGTATCATTTACGAATTGTTTCCTAATCAACTCTGAAAGCTCAAGTTTCTGCAAATCATAAATTATAAGTACAGTATTTACCACCGATTCCTGAACTGGCTGATTTCTATACCACACTTTATAAATCATAGGATTTTTGCTTCTTTCTCCGGTAACTATGGATACAATGGGTGAGGACAGTTTCTTTAAGGCATCTGGCAGTGGCAGGCCTCCATTTAACTTTTCTGGTGAAAAGTTAATGACACCAACTAGTTCATAATTTTGATAAAAGACTGCTTCTGCAAACTTCTCACTTTTTCTAGTGTTTAATTTCAGCTTTTCAAGCATTTCATTATTAAAACCCAAAGAAGTTTTTAGGTTAATTTTTAAAACGGTATTTGCATGATCACTATATGAATAGTTTCCAAATGCAAGTCTGGGTTCTTGTTCTCTAACAATGTTTGAAGAAACAAAAACATCAATATGCTTAACACTAGCAAACCTAAAAACGTCTTCTTTCAAATTCAATTCCAATTGAACCATTTTACCAAAAATTATGGAATAAAACTTTCAGGCTATTTCAAAGTATATCTTGTGTCAATTCTTTATAATATTATTATTGACGGCAAAAAATAAACCCACTTCGTACACAACTTTGTAAAAATGAAACTAATGCTAATAGTTAGTAATAATTGAAACATCTCCATTAACCGATGTGCTGAGAAATCTCAATCTGTGTTTAATTCCACTGGGTAGTAGATATGCGCAGGCGTGTGACGTGAACGAGACAACCAAATTATATCCTGTTATCCATACCAGCATAAATATCCGCCATACGGAAAGGCGTAATTGCTAGTTTTTGCGAAGGGCTATTGGCCCTGCGGCCTTTTCTGGAATTGTCTGACAGTTCTACAACAATGTACTCATACTTGACATTCAATAATGTTTACCATCCTTGAAAAAAATGATTTTATTGAAAATTTAGTTTAAGAATGGGCTATCATCACAGCACTACATCACAAAGTAGTTTTATTGAAGTATTTCTTTGTAGACGCAGTTATTAATGAAAGTGCCTTGCTTTTCTTTTGCAACACTCATGAGATTTTCACTAAAGAATAGCAAGTAATTTTTCAAGTTTATTTTTTGATTGTTTTATATTTAAAACATACTCCTTTTTTATTGGTTAAATCTGAAACATATCATCTTTGTGGAAATTTCAATTGTTATAAAATATTACCCAGTTATGACTGGTGATGATCGGTGCGGTAGTTTCCGAGATGCAAGTTTTGGACGTATACATCGTAGGCTCCATTATAATAAGATTCTATTCTTAAATTGCGTATCATAAATAATATATTGTTACGTCTCTGCTCGTTTGTTAATTTTCCGTAGAAATTCTTTCCGAAAAACTTTAGCATTACAAGTCCTTCCTTAAATAAAACTAGTTTATTCTTTCTCAATACAACTTTGCAATACACTTAATTTCCACAGTCACTTTAATAACTTAACAAATGCTATAATTCACAACGAACTATTCACGCATACTACCGCGCTTGACTCAATTGTCCGTAAAGTACATCTCTGTCTGCAATTTAATTCCATTGTTTGGCGCACTTATATACAAGAATACCGTACATCTAGTAAACACTCGAGCATTCACGAACCTTCGAGAATATCATGACGTGTTACTAGTGTCACGTGACTACCGCTGTCGTAACAATATTTTATGTATTATTGATGCTATTTTGTTTGTTATTATAGAAAAGTATAATTGCTTATTTCGTTTCGTTTTTAAGTGGGGCCAGTAAATTAAAAAGCTGAAATTGATAAAAAAAAAAAGTTTAATAAAATGGTCATTAAAACAAATCAAATAAAATGTAATAGTGTTTATAGAAATTTTATATTTTTATTAAATGATACAAAACAAGTTTATTATATTCAAAAGCTGAAAAATAGTATGTGATCAATATGCTTGCTGATCTCATGGTTAATCTTCTTGGCTTTTTATTCCATTCTCGTTGAAAATCTGAAACTGTTTTAACCAGTTTTCTCTCGAAATGCAGCCTGGCCTGGAATGGCCAGGCGGTGAGGGCCCACGACTCGCGATCTGAGGGTTGCGGGTTCGAATCCCCGTTGCATCAAACATACTCGCCCTTTCAACCGTAGGGGCATTATAATGTGACGGTAAATTCATTTGTAAAAGAGTAGCCCAAGAGTTGGTGGTGGGTGGTGATGACTAGCTGCCTTCCCTCTGCTAAATTAGGGACGGCTAGCGCAAATAGCCCTCGTGCAGCTTTGCGCGATATTCAAACCAATTCCCGAAATGCAGCCTCCCAGTGGCACAGCGGTATGTCTTCGGACTTACAATACTAGAAACCAGGTTTCGATACTCATGGTTGGCAGAGCACAGATAGATTATTGTGTAGCTTTGTGCTTAACTTCAAACAAACAAACAAAATCTCGAAATGCAGGAAAGTGAGTGCAGTCTCTCTGTATGAAGACATGGACCTTCTGTGAGAGCAGAGAAGGTAGATTCTGTTCTTGCTGTAAAATAACCAGCTGCAACAGCAACTTTATAAAGTTGGCCTGAAACAATAGCAGATGCATTGAGCTCGTCTATGATATAAAAAGCCACATTCAAAATATTCTTCAGTTTGCCAGATGGTGTTATTTCCCACTTTCTTTGCTTCAGTTGGCTCTTGAATACGAGACATTCACTTTTTGCCACTTTGAAATATTTTCCTTGAAATAGTAATAGAATAATTATATAGAGGCTCCAAGGTTTTCAAATCTAAAGATTCATCTGCCTCAGGACTTAGAGCTTGCATGAGGCTCCGATAATTACTTGTTTCAAGATATAATGGCAAGTGATCCATAACCACTAGTTCAGAAAAATGATCAGGTATTTTTTTCTTCTCTCCAGTTGGTTTGCCACTTATGAACGGTTCCATTACCTTAGCAATAAATTAAACTGTGTACTTTTCTCTTAATTCATTGAGTTTTCCCTGAACACTTGTAATAGTTGTCAGAGTAGTTGATATATCCAGTGATTCGGTTTGAAACAGTTTGGTAAGAATATCAAGGCGACGAAGCACATCATGGAGAAAGAATAGAAGAAACACGTTTACAGGTTTCTGAAGCGATTTAAGTAAGCCCTTCGCCTGTGAACAATGCTCAGATTTAATCCTCCGAGAACTCTGGATCATTGGTAGGGTTTTACATATTGTTGCGTCAGCGAGGTCACGTGACTAGTATCACGCCACGTCCTTCTCGAACCTTCGTGAATTATCGGGAGACTACTAGATTGGAGGTAGTCTGGTATATATAAGATGGTCACAACGTGACGGGGCAATGAGTAATTGAATGTATGCGGACAGAATATTGTTGCCCTCATGAGACGTTTGTTATAGAGCGACTGTTGAAATTAAGTGTATCGTAAAGTTGTATTCGGAAAGAATAAACCAGTTTTATTAAGAAAGGACTTGTGTAGCTAAAGTTTCGTAGGAACGAATTTACGGAAAATTAATTAACGACTGGAGGCGTAACAATATCTTTTCAAAGTTTTCTTTTATTGTAACTTGAGCATCGAAATACCCAGTCCATCTAGTTGTTATTAATCGTTTTAAACTATTACAATCATACATCGCTGCGACGCTAGGTATTCTGAAAAATGACTATAGCTGTGAAACAAGCAAAGGAAAAAAAATCTTCAACTTGAAATGTCTTTTATAAAACAGCTGTGAGTACTAAGTTCAATCTATGATTAATGCAATAAATATAAACTATTTTTCTTTCACAGAGTTGACATATCAGGTCTTGCAAACCAATATGTTTGCCAGACATTACTGATGCTCCATCAAACGTGCTAAAGGTAACATCATCAAAACTGATTTCGGCTTCCTTTAATACACTTGCCACCGTTGCTTGTTTGTTGTTTGTTTTTGAATTTCGCGCAAATCCACACGAGGACTATCTGCGCCAGTCGTCCCTAATTTAGCAGTGTAAGACTAGAGGGAAGGCAGCTAGTCATCACTACCCACCGCCAACTCTTGGGCTACTCTATTACCAACGAATAGTGAGATTGACCGTCACATTATAACGCCTCCACGGCTGAAAAGGCGAGCATGTTTGGTGCGACGGGGATTCGAACCCGCGACCCTCAGATTGGTTGTCGAGTGCCCTAACCACTTGGCCATGCCGGGCCACCACCATTGCACATATGCCTTTCGCTGACCTGAATAAAAAGAATACATAATATAGTTCAATTATATATAAAATCAAGTTCTATTTCAAAATAAATTCATTCATTCATTCTATTGCCTAAAGAATACTCCTCCAGAGCTTCAACAAACAACTCGAAAATGATGTTGCGTCAGCGAGTCACATGACTACTAGAACTATCCTGTACTTTGGCGAATGCTCTAGTATTTACTAGATATAGGGTAGTCGGGTATATAAAAGAGGGTGACAACATGACAGGGTAATGTAATGTAATGTGTGTGTATAGACAGTGAGTAATTGAACTGCAGTCAGAGAGCACGAGCGACGTTACAGCGTTTGTTTAGCGCGATTGTTGAAGTTGAGTGTATCGGTAAAGTTATATTCGCAAAGAATAAACCAGTTTTATTAAGAAAGGACTTGTAACAATAAGATAAATTACAAATTTTATTATTATTGCAATTTTTTGAAGGTTTTAACTTACCTGTCCGCTAATTTTCTTAACCCAAGTTCGTGGTTTTCGATTTCCCCCTTCTTGGTAAAATATTTAACGCTAATGCTCCATTTTCTTTGTTGCTTTTATCAGTCGAATCATCAACAATTAACACGATGACTACCGGCTACTATCTTTCTTAGTAGGCAATGCAAGTCTTGCTATGTTTCATTCCAACAATAAAACTAGTGGACGAATATTTTCGAAAATTCAAAAATACTTTGTCAAATGTAGGTAGTTTAAGAAACATAAAGCCTATTACTTTTAATAAATTTAGTTTTTTTGCATTATGATCTTTAATATCTTGGAAAATTACATTAGGAAATCGTATTTATAAGAAATGATTACAATATTTATATTTGCTACAGATTTGAATTATTACTTTAATGTTTTAGTACATTATTTTGAAATCCCCCAAAAATTGTATCCTCCATAAAATGCAAATTTTATCTATTTTTAATTTTTTAATAATCACGTATACTTCTTATGGTTTCAAGTAATATACAGACCCGTAAATAATATTTGTAAATAAACCTAAACAATAAATGAGTATTTTTATTTTTAACTAGGATTTTATGTTGATATATGTACATAAAACATTTTAATTTTGTTTCATAAATATATTTTTATTTCAAATTTGTGTTTATGTTTCATTGCAGTCGTACTTTTGTGTATATTGTGCCGAATAAACCATGGGGTGAGCAGCGTGAACTTTGTATTCTGTCCGTAAACTATCTCACCCTTTTTGGTGGTCACTCTCGTTCAACCGAGCGCGAGCGCATTTGAACGTTACTGTAGATATTATAGTAATAATGTAGTAATAAAGTAATGCAAGAAAACCTGCAACAATGGCAGCTCGAACAACAAAATAAACAAGAAAAGAAACAAGAAGAACGAGAAATTAAACAAGAAGAGAAATTACAGCAGTGGCAACAAGAACAAGAAAGGAAACAGGAAGAAACTCTTCAACAGGTGCAGGAAA